ATCCCAGCAAGGCCACCCTTCTGAGGACATTCACTGAATTAACATGTTGAAGAAGCTCCAAAGAGCCAAAAGGAACCAAGAGTGTAAACAGCTTTTGCTCCCTAACTTGCTGGCTGCATCCCTGCAAATTGCCATTTCCTTAGAACACATGTAGAACACCCACAACTCACTCAACTGATAATTTGTTTTTTTGTATCCAGCCCAGGTCCACTGACATAAGCCTCTGGGAAGATCTGCAGAAGAGGAGCAAGCTGTATGAAGATGAGCAAGGAATCTCCAAAAAGGGGTGTACTTAGTAGGCCACTGTACTGGTGAAGGAATAGTGACACTGTCTGCCCAAACCCCACCTGTGGAAATCTGGTCCTGGTTTCTGTGCTCCCATATACCCCCACCAGGGCCAGGACAGGGTGAGCTTTACTGTACCCAGGCAATGACCTCAAAGCACCTCAAACATCATAGTCTACCTCAACAGCATTAGTCAATACTGCTATCAGGTCTATCTGTTTTTTCATGTTTCATGTTTTTCATGGTATTAAGTTAGCCTAAGCAATGGCTGAGGTTTAAACATCATCTGGAAGGCAGAAAGAAAGGCCCCCTTTTCTACTCTCTAAGCAGGCAGTTCTCTGGACTCCAAAGCCCTGTGCCCAGGAATATGGCTCTACACAGTGTGAACATTTCTCCTACCAAGAGCCATTTGGACATTCATAAAAATGAATTGAAGTCCTATATTTATCACATTTCATCTTGAAAAAAAAGCACTTAGATTTACTGAATGCCAAGTCATACTTACAGTTGCCTTGACAAGACTAGACCAAATAATTTCAAGAACCTCATCCCTCTTGCTGGTGTCCAGGAGGTTCCCCACTCCTGGCACAGAGCAGGCACACTGAGGGAGGTAGGCAGAGCAAGCAGAAAGGGAGGGGCTCTCCATGAGCAGCTGGGGTAGGGGTTGAAGAGCTCCCCATTAAGTCCTGGGCACAGCAATAACCTCACAGAGTCATAGCTAGCTCATCATTAAATGGAGGAAATTATAACTACTGCACAGTTGTTGAGAAGATTCAAGGAACTAAAAAGAAAAAAAACAGAAAGGAAAAGAAAAAAAAGCCTATGCTGAATCACATAGATCCATTGGTACACTATGTCTGTGTGTATGTTATTATAATCTAGGGTTTACCTTGTCAGACACACCATTATTTCATTTCTTCACCCTAAGCTTTCTGTATGGATTGTGATCCCCACTTTACAGATCCAAGGTTTGGCCTCAGGAAAGCTGAATTCTTCTTCCAAGTCATGCCAGAAAGAGATGGGCACCATGCTACTAAGGTAGTCAACATAGCCGTTACCACCGTTAATACTCACCTGCTGAGTACCAGGAGGCTACTTAGCACTTCACCCAGATTAATTAGCTCAAGTATTCAGAACACCCTGTAAGGAAAGAATCATTACAACTATCTTCTTATACAGGAAGGCACAGTTGGAGAGGCTGAAGACCTTGGTGAAGCCCATGGTTAGTTAAGGTACAATGTAATGGTATGATCTCTGCTCTGACTCCACAACCCAAGATTTCTTCCACGTAACACAATCCTGTCTGTATTTGTTACAGATCTTGTCTCTACTTCAAATCACCAGCATGTCTGATTCTATGTTCCATGGGAAGTGGTTGGCCTGAAAATATGGAGTCAGGAATCACCCTGCTAATGGCAGGGCCATCAGTTCTGTACCATTAAGAATTAGGGTAGCCTCAAAGAAAAGCCTGGCTTTATGCCCAGTTCCTTCCAAAGAGTTTGCTGTCTAGGAAGTAAGAGCAATTGAGAATGTGCAAAAATGAAACACAGCAGTTTCTTATCATTAACCTTTTAGAAAACAGAATATCGTAAACCTTCTCCCAAGTAAATCATCATCTGCTTATAGTTCTCCCACTACTCCTTGCCTCTGCCATACACGGCTCTGAAAACATCTATACGTCATCACACCTTCACAATCCTGATATAACCTCTGAGGTGGCCACCGCACACAGAAAGACAAGGCACATTAACATTCCAAACAAACATCTGTCAGAGAGACATTTCATGTTTTATTAAAATATTAATCTACCAAAACCTGGTGCTAATCTGGGTCACAATCACCAAGGGTCATCTTTGTCTTGACCCATTCGTTAGCCCTTATGCTTAGAGGAAATTACTTCTCAGCAAAACAAATTCCTGTGTGATAGTTTCCTAGGGTGGCCTATTGACTTTAATAAAACATAACACAAAACTGCTTTGTTGTCTCTCAAGACACTCACCTCTGGCAGGAAGAGCTTCCCTTCAGAGGGCCAGAAGAAGACCGCAACCCACTGGCTTCCTGGGTTCCAAGACTGGGAAGAAGGTGAAGAGGATGGCAGTGGTTGTGGTGGTGGCAGCAAGTGAGCTTGCTGTGCCCAACTATGCAAAGTGATCTCTGCCAACAGTTTGGTATGTGGTGGTTCCAGATAGAACTCAAGTTTCAATAAAAATCCGAGCCAGGGCACCATACTTTGCCCAGCCTATTAGCAGCAAAACCAGCAAAATCTGGCAGCAAACTACTCACTTCTTCCCACAAGGTCAAATTTCAAAGAAACATTTATCCTCAATGGGCATTCAGTGTGCCAAAAGGTTTTCCTAGAGACATGTTCAGACCTTATGGATGACCAAAAAAGACCCTTGTGGGACATGTCACATCCTTCCTCAGAATGTTACAGAGAACAGCTCACTATGGCAAAAATCAAGCACAGGCACAAATCTTAGCTTTTCTAATTTCATCTTGCTTAAAATCTCCCAAAAGAAATGTAGAAGAGTTAGACAAGATAAATTATGCAGGTCTCTAGACAGTGAGACCAAAGGAGAATATTCTTAGGAGAAGATCCCAAAGGCTCAATAGCTATGTGCATATAATCATATAAATATTTATCAAAATGAACTCCAAGAAATGGAAACAGGAGGGTTTTTTTGTTGCTGTTTTTGTTTTCTGTACCTACTGTCTTGTTTATAAGTTCATCTGTTTGGAGGAGGGTGGTGACAAGGGGAGACACAGAAAGGGTAGGGCAAGGAGAGAACAAATGCAGCAGTGATACTGGCTAGGAGGGAAAAACTGGGAGAGAGCAAGGGAAGGAGTGACATTGTCCAAAAAGAAATGTACTCATTACCTGATTTATGGAACTGTAACCCCTCTGTACATCACCTTTATAATAATAAAAAACTGAAAACAATCTTCATTATACCTTCATTATTTTCTGTTTATATTCTGAAGACATTACTATCAAAGCCACTGTCCTAACACACATGCAGGGGAAGGTCTTGCTGGGACATGGGGCATCAGCATTTGTAGGACTTGGCTTCTCTATCCCCAGATTCCTGGCTGTTCTTGGTCACTAGGTAATAGCCAGGAGCAAAACAGCAACTGCAGGCCCCTGATGTGAGACTGCTCTCAGCAGGAGAGCCATGAATGTCCCACATCCATTCTCTTCATTTCTACCAAAGCCCATTTTTCTTGGAGGCCATATTTGTATGTATGTGGCAGTGAGTAGAGAAAATATGAAAGATGAAAGCTCTATTTTGTCAAGAAATTCATTCCTATCTCTTGCTGTATAATGCATCTTAGAGTTATTAATAAGCCAATGTGGTAGTTGTGGTAGAGTTAATAGCCTCAAAGCTGCCTTTTACAGGCTCAAAGACCCAACAGGAAGAAGGCCTGCCCTGAGTAGAGTGGAGAAACAGGCTTGGAGTGCTGTACTAAATGAAAAACTGTGAGATATAGATCACCAGTACTGCATCTAACAACTATCAGTGACAGAACCATGTGCTACCTGGACTGCCAGGTGGGTATATATCATCTTCCTCAAGACAGGTAAGAAAATAGGCTCAGAGAAGCCAAATAACGTGCCCATTGCCACATAGCTCAGCAGTGATAGAATCACATTGGAACCCAGGCTTTGGGTTCAAAACTTAACATTCTGTTTCCATTCCTCTTTCCTTTAAAACACTTCTACTTCTGCTGTGGATTTCAAATCTGCCTTTCTCATCACTGGTGGAATGGCCTTGCAAGCCAGCATTACAGCCCCCTGCTGCTGGTTCCTTTTCCCAGATGGGAACAGAGAACCTGATGTGGCTACTGTCCCAGGACTTACCGCTCCCCCCTCCCCCCCCCCCCCGCCGTGACTTAGGGAGCCCTGAGGAGGGACAGGCCTGGCTTCAAGCAAGTACATCTCTGGCTTCATTCTAAAAAAACAAAGGACGGAAGTTGCCCAGGGTTTACTGAGGATTTAACGGCTTCCCAAGATGTTATTTCAAATACCCACAATCCATGTCTTTACAAAAATGCCAACAAAATGCAGGGCAGGGGGGGAGGGTTTCCTGATTTGTCATTTACCCCCCACACACACACCATACACACAGAATATGTCAACATCACTGTGTGTAGAAGTGGTGTTTGTCTTCTTTTCCTGTGTTGTGGCCCCTGGAGCCCAAGGGGATCCTCCCTCCCTGGAAGCCGAGGGAAGGCAGCCGCATCCGCCTGTAGTTTGGGCGGCTGCTCACTGAAATCAACTGGGGAAGGGGGGTAGGGGGTGAAAACACACAACTCTCGAGATCTGGGTGGGCTCGGTGTAGGACACGTCCAGTGTCAGCGTTTTAGAAGTGCTCCAGAGTGATTCTAGTTGAAGGCGGGATTGAGAGCTGCAGCCTCGGCCCCGAACCAGGGGGTTTCCGGCCCAGTCCACGCCGGGCTTCCGGACCCGTCCACCGCACCCCCCCCAACAAGCTCCAGCCTCGGGCTGCCGACCCCGTCCTCCCGCCCCCAAACAAGCCCCAGGCCCGGGCTGCCGGCCTCGTCCACTCTGCGCCCCCGACCCCGATCTCCCGCCCCGGAATAAGCCCCAGCCCCGGTTGCCGGTCCAGTCCACGCCGCCTTTCACGCCCGCGGAGCCCGGCGGCGCGCGGGACCCAGGAAAGCTGAGGCCGCCCCGCCAGAACCCCAGGACTTACTTGACAACCAAGTTTGCAGAACTTGCAATGACTGCAGCCGGACGGGTGATGCCAGGAGCGCAGTAGCCCGAGGATCGCGGGGACCGAGGGGTCGTGGTGGCCCGGGGGCTCGGGGGCTCGAGGACCGCGGCGGCCTGGGGGTAGTAGGGACCCGGGCGCTGCGGAAACCCGGGGATGGTAGGGGCCCGGGGGTGGCGGGGAGCGCGGTGGCCCGGGAAGCACGGCAGCCTGGGAATCGAAGTGGCCCGGGGATGGCGGGGGCGCAGGAGCGCGGTGGCCGGGGAGCGCGGGTGCCCAGGGATCGCGGCGACCCGGGGGTCCTGCCAGTACGGCGACCGCAGCTCGGCGAGGGCAGGGCCGGAAACTGGCCCGGCAGCCGGGTCAGTCGCGCCCTCTGGTGGCGGGGGGCTCTGCAGGCCACCGGCGAGGTCGCAGGCCCGGCGGCGGAGCCGAGCAGAGGGGAGACCTCAAACCCAACTGTGGTTCTCGGGAAACCAGGCGGGGCCGGCGGAGGGGACGCACACTCGGGGACTGGTGCCAAGGCCCGCCCAGGGGAAATGCCAACACCCCAGCCAGAGCCAGGCTAGGACCCGACCTGGAAAGTTGTCCAAGAAAACTGCAGAAAGTCATCCAACTAAACCTAAAGCCTTTCCGTTTCTACTCAAGTCCTCTCGGCAGTGTACACTTCATATGCTTTTCATGTACGGTAACGCCTTGTAAAGGAACTCTTAACATGCTGATAATCCACCGCCGCCCCCCCCCCGACCAAAAATGTTTTTAATATTTACAATTGTTTAAACAAAAAAAGTCACTTATCTCACAAAAGTGTATTAAATCATGTGCCCACATCTATTCAGGAACCTTCTCAGCAAAGCCTGCTCTCAAACACCAAAGTATGAGGGGCTGGGAAGGTGGCTCAGTGGTAGACTGCTTGCCTTGCATGCATGAGGCCCTGGGTTCGATTCCTCAGCACCACGTAAGCAGAAAAAGCTGGATGGAACTGGTGCTGTGGCTCAAGTGGTAGAGCGCTAGACTTGAGCTGAAGACTCAGGGACAACGCCCAATCCCAGAATTCAGGCCCACGACCAGCAAAGAAAAAAGAAAAAACAAAGTATGTTCAACTGCAAATGTGTGAGCTGGAATTCAGCTTCATCACTTACCCTGCCACAAATCTGAAGGAAAAGATTCAGAACCATTTGTGCAGTGCTAGGTATGAAAGCCATCACTTGCACCTACCAGGCAGTCACTGAGCTCAACTCCAGCCCTAGGTTTCTTTCTGAAAATCAAGCTTCATTTGTATTTCCCATGTCCTGTTTCTCCTGCTGTAACTTTAGTTCTGTCTTTCAACTCAAGATTTCAAAGTGTGAATTTGTTTAATATAATGAAGATACTGAATCTGCAGTAAGCAGACTAGCCCTCTCTTCTGTGATGTTCATACCTACCCTGGAACCCATGAACAAGGCAAACAGGAACTCTAATTGCTTATCTGCTCACCTTAAGATGGAGAAATAACCTGGGTTTAAAATTGGGTCTAAAGTAATCAGAAGAGTCTAGATAAGTAGGAGGCAGAAGATAGAGAAGCGGCTAGTTGTGAGTACCTTTAACACCACCAGTGGTTTTAAAGGTGAAGAAATGGTTATAAGCCAAGAAGTGCAGTCCTCACACTTGTATTTTAGCCCACTGAGACTCTCTGGAATTCTGTCCTCCAGAAATTTAGTACCCCTAGTTTTGGGGTACTAAATTTGTGATAATTTGTTATGGCAGGAATGAAACACACACACACACACACACATCGGAGTTCTTAACCTTGACAGGGTTTTCTAAGATGTTTTCCATCCTAGCTTTTTGTTGTTGCTTTTCCTCTCTTTCCTTTCTGCAGTAGTAGGGTTTGAACTCAGGAGCCCCTTGCTCACTCAGCTTGTTTGATAAGCTGATGCTCTTCCACATGAGCCACACCTCCAGACATGCTTTTGTCTGGGTTACTTTGTAGCTGGAGTCCCAGTTTTCTGCCTGGGGCTGGCCTTGAACCTCAGTCCTCTGGATCTCAGCCTCTGAAGATTACAGATGAAAGCCACCAGCACCTAGCTTTTTTATTCATTTGTTAAAACTAATGCTGGAGAGATCAAGCGCAGAAGCTTATGCATGAACACATGCTCCACCAGTGAGCTGTATCCCAGACCCGCTATTCTTAGTGAACTGCACTTTAGGAATCCATCTTTTTTTTTTTTTTTTGCCAGTCCCAGAACTTCAACATGAGCGCCTAGGTGCTGTCCCTGAGCTTGGTTGCTCAAGTCTAAAACTCTACCACTTGAGCCACATCTCTTCTTCCAACTTCTTGGTGGTTAATTGGGGTAAGTTTCAGACTTTTCTGCATGGGCTGGCTTCAAACTACAATCCTCAGCTCTCATTCTCCTAAGTAGCTTGGATTATGGGTATGAGCCACTGGTGCCTGGGTCTGAATCTACCACTTTTTAAAAAATCATTTTTTTTCCTAAGAGGTTTCACTTTAAGGTATTATAAATGCACTCAGAAGAAATGCAGAAATCCACTCTGAACTCAATTTTCCCCATTGGTAACACCTTGCATTGTTATAACCAGAGCATAACATAGTAAAGATACAAAACATTTCCAGCACTACAGAGATGCCTGGTGGTGTCCCTGATCTAATGTGCCCCTTCTTTTTTTGGGGGGGGGTCCGGTCATGGGGCCTGAACTCTGGGCCTGGGCGCTGTCCCTCAGCTCTTCAGCTCAAGGGTAGTGCCCTACCACTTGAGACACAGCACTACTTCTGGCTTTTTTCTGCTTATGTAGTGCTGAGGACTCGAACCCAGGGCCTCATGCATTCAAGGCAAGCACTCTACCACTGAGACAACTTCCCAGCCCCATAACGTGCCCCTTCTTATCCAATCCTAATTTTGTTATTTCAAGAATGTTAAGTCTGTGGGATCATCTACTAGGTAACTCTGGGATAGCTGTTTCCCTTGCAGTATAATTCTCCAGAGATGTACCAGGCCATTGCATGTATCAGTCTTCCCAATTCTTTCACTCAAGGCTAGCACTCTACCACTTTAGCCACAGCACCGCCTCTGGCTTTTTCTGTTTATGTGGTTACTGAGGAATTGAACCCAGGCTTCATGCATGTGAAGTAAGCACTCTACCACCAAGCCACATTCCCAGCATTCTGTCCTAATCTTTTTTTTTTTTTGGGTCCGGTTGTGGGGCCTGAACTCTGAGCCTGGGCGCTGTCCCTCAGCTCTTCAGCTCAAGGCTAGCACTCTACCATTTGAGCCACAGCACCACTTCTGGACTTTTTTCTTTTCTGCTTATGTGGTGCTGAGGAATCGAACCCAGGGCCGCAGGCATGCAAGGCAAGTGCTCTACCATTGAGCCACCTTCCCAGCCCTCAGTCCTAATCTTACTCCCGTAACCATCAAAATAATCCTAAAACATAAGTGATTAGATTATCCTTGGCCTACAGGTGAGGACACTGAGGCAGGAAAAGGGAAAGTTGGAGTTTCACAGGAAGCAGTGGCACTGGCCTTGAATCCAGGCCACCAGGCTCTTGTGGCACCAATCCCTCTGGTTCCAGAATATGTGATGATTTGGGTTTAACAACATGACACAACAGAGCACTTTCGTAGGGAAAATAGATTAAACACAAATATATTTATTTGTTTAAGAACAGTAAGCCATTTTCAATTTTTAAACTTTTTTTAATCAACTGTCTCTGCAATTTCCTTACTCTTCTGAAGTTGATCATTTAAAGAAATGCTCATACAGAGCAAAGCAATTTACCAGCACTGTCATCCAGTGGGATGTAAATCTACCCTTCCTCACAAAGCAGGAAGACATGATCAACTTGAGATCGTTGTTCTAGGTGTTCTCAGGAGAACCCACACCAAGTACCCATGCATTCCAGGAACTCACCCATTTGTAACTGTCTAATTCAAGACCCAGGTAGTCAGAAAATAGGGAATCACCCAAGTGAGACACCCTTCCCAGCACTGTTGATAATCAGCAGATTAAATCAGAAGCTTTCCCAGAGCCTTGTTCTCCAAATATTAAAAATACTGCCTAATAGTACATTGAGTATGTCCAGTTGTATTGTTAGGTTCTACAGTTTGGCTTCGCCTTTTTTGATGATATCTTCTATTTCTTCTGAGACCTTTCCATTATAGTCATTTGGTTCTATTGCTTTTAACTTCTCTTGATAGTCCAGGGGTAAACCATTTTCCTTTGCGCCCAAGCAAATAACCTAGAAATGGTTAAAACAAATATTAATGCTTTTAGTTAGGAACATAATAGAATGCCACAACTCTACTTGCATGGTAAGAACCTTAAATAATAGTTTTCAGAGAATTCCAAAATCAGTAATTCTGGGGAAAAAATTAGACATAACTTTTTCTCTCACTTTGACACGAAGCACAGGAGTTTTCAAAGCTGCCTGAAGCATCTTCACAGAGTAATATTAATAACGTGAACAAGTTCTTCAATTCAGATTTTGTTGAGATTAAGACAAAAATCTACCTTATGTTATAGAATTTGCATAGTCATTTAGGGAAAACCACCATTCTTCAGAAAGAAGTTGCTCTGATCTTAGTCCCTTGGTCTACTCGTCTCTGAATTAGACATGGCAGTAAATGGCAACTGGGTTTAGGGGCACACTGGAGACCCATATAAGGCTAAATTGATTAAAATCTAGGCAGCACACTGGGAAACACCTGGAACTTCCTACACATTGTGAATGACATCCTGACTGAAAAGGAGGTAGGGGTCCCCTATTCCTGTCCTGGTCATGCAAGGGTGGCTTCTCCGACTCTGAATGCCAGTGGTCCTTAACCCTGACCCTCAAGTGTACCATTTCTTCTCCACTGTAGGGTGGAAAACATGTTGACAGTAATAATTCTACTTTTCCCAGAAAAAAAAAAAAGAAACAGTGTTCATGAAATACTGTTTTGTGAGGAAAAAAATTATAAAAGCATAACTGCAAACTAAACCTATTAAAATATACACATACACCTGCACTTTAAGAAATACGAGTAGTAGAAGCTTTTTATTTATTTATTTATTTTTATTTTTTGGGTCTGGTCGTAGAGCCTGAACTCTGGGCTTGGGCGCTGTCCCTCAGCTCTTCAGCTCAAGGCTAGCACTCTACCACTTGAGCCACAGCGCCATTTCCGGCTTTTTTTTTTCTGCTTATGTGGTGCTGAGGAATTGTGCCTCAAGCATGCAAGGCACGGGCTCTACCACTGAGCCACCTTCCCAGCCCCGAGTAGAAGCTTTTTAAAACAAAGTTTTAGAAATAGTTCTATTGTTAGACATAAATGTATATAGTTTAGATTCACACACACACACACACAGACACACACATTTTGGTGCTAGGATTGAACCCAGGGTCTCACTCATGCTACCACTAAACTAAATCACCAGCCCCTGGAGAGTACTTGAGAAATGCCCCTTAAGTAAATAGCTATCTTTTTTTTAATTGTTTTATTAAAATGTCATATGAAATTTAAAATGGACAAAGCCTTGGGAAAACAAGACATTCTCCAATTTATTTTAATGAAAATTAAGACTCGCTGAACACCTAACCAGCTTACCTTTTTGTACTGTGGCGAGGGAGGAGCACTCTCATAGTTTGTCATCAGGTAACTGCGACAGTCTATTTCTTTCCCTTCTTGAGTAGAAACTTTAATTTCTATTACAACATATACTCCATGTTTAACCCCTTCTTGTCTGAAACCAGAACAGCCAAATAATTACCATTAATCCAGGAAAGTTGGTTTACTGGTTCAAATCTCTTATTCAAGTTGGGGGTACAAGACTAGTAATTGAACTGCCTATAAGGATGTATTTCTCCCTGCATAACTTGGAATATGGCGAACACGTAAATAATACCATGCCAAAGCACACTTAGCATTTTAGCAGGGGAGCCTGAAATTCAGTGGTCCAGCTGGTCCTAGACTTAACAGTATAGCCAGTCAGCTCTGAGACTCAGTGGTACAATCAGCTCTGAGGTTCAGTGGTACAATAAGTTCTAAGGCTCGGTGTTACAGCTGGCCCTAGACTAAGTGGCACAGTAAGCTCCAAGGCTTAGGGATACAAGCTCAGTGGTACAAATGGCTCTAAGACTTACTAATAGAATCAGTTCCGAGGCTTAGCAGTACTGTTGGCTCTGAGGCTTAGTGTTACAATCAGCTCTGAGTCTCAGTGGAACAGTCAGCTCTGAGGCTCAGTGTTAGAGTCAACTCTGAGACTTAATGGTACAGTCAGCTCTGAGGCTTAGTGGTAGTCAGTCCTAGATTTAGTGGTTCAGCTGGCTCTGAGATTTAGTGGTAGAGTCAACTCTGAGACTTGGTGGTAGAGTCAACTCTGTATTCACAGGTTCCACATCCACATATTCAACCAACCTCTGATCAAAAATTGGGTTTGAGCCAAATGCATACAGACTTTCTTCCTTGTCATTATTTCCTTAAAAATAAGGTCTAACAATTACTCCCACAGCATTTGCATTGTGTTAGGTATTGAAGTGACTTAGAGATGACTAAGCACACAAAGCAAGATATGCACAGATTATATATACATATTATGTAGTTTTAGTACTCTTGGTGTCCTGAACCAAGGCCTTGTGGATAGAGGCTCAGGGTTTCTAACAGATAGATCTGCATATTTCTCCTATCTGAACACTTGCTTAAGTATATTTATTGCTCTGTATGCCCTCAAACACTATTCTTATAAAAGGTAGACTGCATCCTCTGACAGCAAGAGAATGTCTCTCCCCAGAGAAAAGCTGCGAGGGCAGGTTATTCTTGCTTGAATGAGGCAAGGATGAAATGAGTCAGATAACACATCCTTCTCAAGTCCTACTCGTTTCTGCCAACTTGTTTTGAATTAAATGCTCTGTCACACAACTCTGAGAGTTCTAGTTATAAACACTATCCACACATTCTAATATGTTGCCCATTCTTCTACAAATGATTACTTATTGGATGAACTGCTTATTAATTGTTAATTGCATCAACTGTAATCTTTTGCAAATCATTTTCTTTTTCAGTACTGGAATTTGAGCTCTGGGCTCTGGGCTTGCTAGCAAGCATTCTACCATGTGAGCCATACCCCTAGCCCTTTTTTTCCTTTAACTTTTTTCAGGCAGGGTATCATAGTTTTGGCCCAGGCCAGCTTTGGACTAATTATGATTCCCCTGCCTATCCTGCCCATGTAGGTAAGATTGCAGTTCTGTACCACAACACCCAGCTGCAATCTTAAATAAAAAGAAAAACTGCAAAAAGTAATTTTTAAAACTATGAACAAACATAACAGCTTCCTTTTTTAATGGGTCTTGGGGCTTGAACTCTGGGCCTAGGTGCTATCCCTCAGCTCTTCAGCTCAAAAACGAGCACTCTACCACTTGAACCACAGCGCCATTTCCGGTTTTCTGGTAGTTAATTGGAGGTAAGTGTCTCATGGACTTTCCTGCCTGGGCTGGCCTCGAATAGCAATCCTCAGATCTCAGCCTCCTGAGTAGCCAGGATTACAGGTGTGAGCCACCAGCGCCCAGATGGCTTCCATTTTTTAACATAAGAGATTACAAATGTTCTCCCAAATCAGAATGACAAAGTATTTTCTTCTTAGATTTTTTTATCCTGAAGTATAAAGAGTATGTCTGTAGTAAGTAGAAATGTATAGTTTTGAAAAACTAACACACAAGCATACATACTTCCATAAAATCCACTTTCTGAATTAGTTAACTTATAATTAGAAGCCACCTACTCATCCAGGGAACTTAAATTGCTTTCGTTCATTTTCCATACCACTCCCCACACTTCATCGCCAGGACTTTGAAAAACGGTAGCTATACCTCCATGCCACCTTTCACTTGTTTTGCCTTGGAAATTGCCAAAGTCAAGCTTAAAATCCTACAAAGGAAACCAAAGTGATAGAATCAATATTCACTTGAACCCAAATTTCCCTTCTGAAAATAAAAAGGATTTACCTTGAACTCCATGTAAATAAATTGTTCAAAAAACTTTCAAGTTCCTCCTATGTGTAGAAGCTGTAGGAAATACAAAGATTAAAAAAAAAAGACAGAGACCCCAGGTCTCAAGGACATATTTTCCTTAAAAATAAAATGTATATTGAATATGTATAGCACCTTAACATTTTAAGTCATAAGGAAAAAGATCTTGTAACTATTACTTTCATTTCTGCAAATTACTTCCCAGTCTACTTACATGTGTGTACATTACTTAGAGACCTGCTAGGTAATGGACTCATGAGTTATAATATGCTTTCATGTCTGGAGATCACCCCAACAACCTCTATCACCCACCACATTTTCCCTAAGGGAGCTAGCATTTCTCTAGACTGTAGACTTAAGAATGCTGTATCCTTAATTTATAAGTATACAAATAAGTATCTGTATACTTATGAATTGTACTGATCTATCTACAATAACTATAGGAGCAGCTAACACTTGAACATTACTGGTTATTTATTTTATAACAAGGAAAAACTGCAACCTGGAAAGACTGAGCAACTTGCCTGAGGTCTCAGGAGTGTTGGAGCCATGACATGAACAATTGGGATAAGAGTCTGGAGGAAGAATAAAATTCCTGTGGGGAGATTTCTTTCCATCTTTCCAGGGCTTAGTTCTCTTAATAGACCAAAAAAAAAAAAAAGGCTAGAATCAATAATAACACTAGAGTCCTTTATTTAGTTTTATTTTTTATCCCTGTCATTTGTTTTCTCAAAAACCTGATCAGACACTTTGGGAAATAGGCTGGTTTGAGAGCTCAGGACCTTGAACTGGCACAGTGAGTTATCTCTAGCACCAAGCACCTGTGGCAAGACATTGGTATGTCTGATCAAAGCTACAATCACACAGGGATTGGCTGTCTATTGCTAAATCCAACAGACAGCTCTCATTTCTCATCTTACTCCATTTCTTGGCTATTTAGGATATGAATAACCACTCTCTTCTGCCAGGCCCTCTTTTTAGATTTTCAGGCTCCTCTTTGATCTCCCCATCCTCTTTGACAATTCCTCCTCTATTACTAGATCTTTAAATGCCCAAGACAATCCATTTCCTTCAGCAGTTTCAAGTGCTACCCAGTGCTTTCATCATCTTTCAAATAGATACAGATTACTCCTGAGCCTCAAAAGTGATTAAGACATGGCCTAGCACATAGTAGGTACCTAACAGATATTATCTAATAGTGTGCTATTCACTTAGCCGTCTAGCAAGCATTTAACTCGGTATGTTCAAAGTGAACTTACAAGTTTTCACTTGCCAAATAGATATTCCTCATTGTACACATCACCATCATCTGCCTGGTTGTGCAAAACCTTGAGTCTCTTACTTCACAACCAATCATCTAGCTTTACCAGCTATCTCCTATCTCTCAAGTCCATCTATCTTCCCCTGCTGCTATCCTACTCCAGGGTGCCAGTCATTATCTTTGGCATGGCTGCTACTAAAACTTAACAACTGGATTCCCCACACCCACCTCTGTCCCTTTCAAACCTATCTTCCATAGCAACCAAAGTGAGCTTTCAAAGACATTCCATTCTATTTGCTTCCATTCCATTGTGCTTAAGTGACAGGCTAAAGTCTTATTGGCCACTGTAATTCTATTAATGGATGGCCCTTTCCTACATCTCATGGAGTTCACTTACATCGTTCTTTAGGACCTTTGAACATATTGTTCCCTTGGTTCCCTTTTCTTCCCATCTCCTGAATCATTCAGATACCATATTAAGTTTTAGTCCCATTTTCACTGGGTACCAGGGCCTAGCTAATCTCAGGACCTAAGATCTAAGGATTCTGTATTTCAAAGCCAGCCGAGGCAGGAAAGTCCAGGTGAGACTCATCTCCAATTAACCACCAGAAAACTGGAAGTGGAGCTGTGGCTCTAAGTAGCCTTGAGCAAAAGAACTCAGGGACAGTACCTAAGCCCTGAGTTCAGAAAGCCCCACAACCAATAACAACAATCAAAAACAAGTCCCATTTTTGAGTGAGGGAAGGGGGTGACATTGTCCAAAAAGAAATGTACTCTTTACCTGACTTATATAACTGTAACTCCTCTGTACATCACCTTTATAATAATTTTTTTTAAAAAAAAAGGGCTAGGAAAGTGGCTTAGTGGTAGAGTGCTTGCCTAGCATGCATGAAGTCCTAGATTCATTTTTTCCGTACCACATAAACAGAAAAAGCCAGAAGTGACACTGTGGCTCAAGTGGTAGAGTGCTAGCCTTGCACAAAAAAAGCAGCTTAGGGACAGTGCTCAGGCCCTGAGTTTAAACCTCTGAGTTCAAACCCCAGGACTGGGGAAAGCAAGCAAGCAAGGAAGGAAGGAAGGGGGAAGGAAGGGAAAGGGGAAGGAGAAGAGAGGGGAGGGAGAAAGAGAGAGGGGGAAGGGAGGGAGGGAAAGAGAGAGAGAGAAAGGGGGAAGGGAGGGAGGGAAGGAAAGAGAAGGAAATAAGGAAGGAAGGAAGGGATGGAGGGAGGGAGGGAGAGAAGAGACAAGAAAAGAAAAAAAGAGCTGGGTGCCAGTCGCTCACGCCTATAATCCTAGCTACTCAGGTGGCTGAGACCTGAGGATTGAAGTTCAAAGCCAGCCAGGGCAGGAAAGTCTGAGAGACCTTTTTTT